GAAGGAAAGGGAGGAAGAGGAGGAGGATTGCGAGGGGGGTGCGTGGAGGAGATGCGGTGTCCGCGCGTACGCGCACGCACGCGCACGTACGCACGTGCGCACATAGGCACACGTTTAAAAGTATATGTATATGTATATATGTATAGATTCTGTATATAATATATCAATCATTGATTTTTTTCTTCCGTTAAGTAACTAGCTTCTTCGAGTATGTATATATATACACATAGATATATGTACAGAACATATATATGTGAATATATATATATTTGCAATTATGTGATAATTTTATATGTATTCGATCACTCCGTCGCTTAAGCATTCGCTCGTCTCTTCGGATTCGCACGGGGTTCCATGTTCTCTTTCTTTCTCACTTTCCCTCTCTCTCTCTCTCTCTCTCTTTCGAGTAATCTCTCGAGCTGCCACTCTCTCGTATGCACGTTTCACACGCATCCCTCGAAACAAGCTACAACTAGTGCCCTACTTAACGCTAAGACGCTATGGTAGACAACAACAAGTAATCGTTATCCTAGAACTTCTGATCTCCTCTTTTTTTCCGCTCGTCCTACTTTCGTAATATATGCCGTAAAAATCTTGTATATAATGATATTAATATTGTTATATATTTCGCTTTTTATTGCACACGCGGTGTCGTGCGCCCGTTGGCGCCAGCGCCGCAAGCCGGCCCGGCTGATTCGCGTCCTGATTCCTCATTCTGTGAGAAACGCAGAAAATTGATCAGTAAAGTCGTCGAGATCGGATTCTGTTCTTCGATCCCGAGCGCAATATTGTTCGAGTATTTGATGCGCGAGGTGGCGAAGCGGCCTTCCGACGCTGACTCCAACCGGCTTTACCCTTTTAACACATCAGCACGTTTCTCTCGCTCTTCCTTCTTTTTTTGAGAGTGCTTTTTTTATTTACTATACGACTTTATGTTTTCTTTGCTTTGCGTTTTAGTTCTGTTTGCTCTGTTAAACTCGTGCTCGGTTTTACGCGATCTCTAATTTTTTTAAGCTGAGATTCGTCCCGCGCGAACTTTGGAACGTGGTCGTTGATGCGCTTTTTGTTCGGTCCTTGTCTCTAAACTGTCGGGGGAAATTGCGTTTTTCTTTCCACCTAATAATCGCCTTATAAGCGGCGAACTTAACTGCCGGTTAATCATGCGAATATCGTTGTACACTCGTCACGCATAAAACGAACGTTATATGCCTCGGCCCCGATCTAAGTAACGCGTCGAAGACGTATCTTATATATGTGTGTATATATATATATGTGTATATATATATATATATATGTCATATATATATATATATGTATATATATGTCATATATATATATATATATATATATATATATATATGTGTATGAACATCAAGAAAACGAAATTGTGTTTACCGTAATAAAAACGCCCCATCTTGGAATCGTAGACTTGAACGTATACAACGTTAAATACTTTACATATTTATATATTTACGTATTTATATATTTATACATATATATACACATGTATATGTGTATACGTATGTATAAATATGTATGTATATATTTATATTTCTCCTCGTTTCGCGTTTGTCGTCTTTCTAGCACTCTGCGGTGATGTAATTAATCTCGTAAGTCGTGATTTAACTACGCGTCGTATCCCGTAAATCTACTACTGCGGTGATGGACGGGGGTACAACCCTATATATTTATATGCGACGCTTTTAAGATGGCGATTATAATGAAATATATATCAAAAAGAAAAGCAACGAGAAAAATGCGAGATATTCCCGAAATTTACGTTATGTCCAACACGCTGATCGCCCAGAATCGGCCGAGAAAGTTGCATCTCCGCCGTTCCTGTACAATGTACATTATGTAATTTCAATAATATAATCAGCCGACGATCCAGCTTACTCCACACTCGAACAATATATAATACATATTTATATAATCTGTAATTATATAGAAACTTTATAACGCTCGTATAGCCTCATCTAATTACCTTACGAGACTTAAGTCGCTAATAATACTCTACTAAGTAATCAGTTATCATATATTCAACATTTTTTTATCTCTCTTTGATATGTGCGTTCGCGCTTTGTCAATGCCAAGAAAATATTTTCGAAGCGTTCGATCTTTCACAGCGTGCGTTTTGTGTCCCTTTTTTCTTATATTCCGCTATCCCGCGTTATTTTATATCGTAATGATTTATATATCGTGCCGTCATCGTCGGGCCGAAAGAATAGTGACGCTCTTAGTATAACATGATCGATCGATGGCTGAGAATAAATTTGTCACTCGGCTTTTGTCGACAACTCGCCGAAAATTTGAAGGATCGTTTCGATCGTCATCGTCGTCGTCGCGTGCCCGGCTCTAATCTACCGACCTTGTCACGATGTAAAAATTCCTCTACGTTTTTCCTCGAAAGCTACGTTACAAAGTATGAAACCAAGTAAATCCTTAACGTCGCTTAAAGTCTAGTTCGGAGCGTCCTTACGAGCGCGCGACGGGTTTCGTATCCGTATAAGGTAACAGCTATACCATCAACCTCTAAACAGTACAACGTATTGCATCCACATAAAAATATAAAAGAGTTTAACGGATTCTATATATATAATATTATAACAATAAGTTTATTTTTTACTACGCGAATAAAAATTTTGAAAGCCACGTTTGGAAATGAAGCGCTCGTAAATATAAAAAAGATAATATTCCCAGAAAGCTTTTACGATGCTCTCAATTAAGAAAGGTCTATCGGTTACCGATTATACTCTGTTTCGGGTTGAATACACTAAACCGGTGGGAGCTTGTTTTTCATTTTCTCGTTCTAGTTTTTCGTGAACTTAACATACTTAACAGCGAGGGATTGTATCGATTGCGTTGCACTTTGACAAACCTTCTTCAGACAAACCGGAACAATTTTTCATCTTTCGCAAACGTACACTTCATCTCGTCGCGTTGGTCTTTCGAACATAAAGGTTTACACGCGTGCGTGCAAGAGAGAAATAAAAGGCCCCCCCGCACAATGAAAAACATATTAAGGAACAAGGAACAGATATTAGCGATTAGGACTAAAGAATCAGGAATAAAGCTGGACGCACGAAAAACATCAGGCAACAGGCAACAGAAACAGGGAATAACACAGACAATAGATTTTTAACCTATCGGAAGCTGTGTATCAATGCCACACTAGCTTTATTCCCGATTTCTTATTCCTAATCGCTAATATCATCTGTTCTTTGTTCCTTATATTTTTCATTGTGCGGGGGCCTAAAGTCTATCTCTCTCTTTTGCTGTCTCTTTCTTTCCCTCTTCCTCGCTATTTTCATGTCCTGCGCGAATATATGCGTGCGTGCATACGTGTCTGACAATTCGACAATGCAAAGGGGAAACAAATAATTACCCTTATGTACTAATGTAGTACATTTCACATGCAACTGATCCTCGAGTCGTTAATATCGCGGTCGTTACATGTACATTTGAAACTTCTCAGTCTCGCCCTTTCAGAAAAGTTTAGGATACGTTGCCGGGCGAACCATTTTTCACACGCGTCATTTAGATCCGGAACCAGGATTGATCCCCCAAGTCGAGAAACTCGATATTCGAAACGGAAACGAGCTGGCTACGCCGCGCCAACGTCGATGATGTTTGTCCTACGGTATATTACAGAGCATAAATTACGCGAATGCCGCTGCGCTTCGAGCCCTCCGGCTCAACCTTCGACTTATCACGCGATTCGCCGCTAATTCGCCTTTGTTGTTTCGACTGACAGACTAATCCTTTTCGTGCCCAATACACTACGGCGTAAAATGCCTCGGTACCGCGCGCGGTTCTCTATAGCGTTTTTCCCCCCGCTATATACACATTTCCCCCGTTATGTTCAACGTCACGAAGAAACCTAACGTTGTTTTCCAGCTGGCGATCGTTGCTGTGTGTCCGAGGGCGCGGTTTGCCCACAAGTTATCACGTCCGATTTTTCTCAGATCGCTGAGCTAAAGTTTATTCGTCCGTTCTGACCTGACGGTGTATAATTTCCATTTTACAGAGTCTGATCGTGTCTGCTTCAAAGTTTGTTTACATTACTTAAGAACGAAGCTCTCTTTTTTTTCACGATACTTTCAAGTTATAGTTTACTCATTGGATAGAGAAATTTAACGTAAGATTAAACTTATGCGAGTGACAATTTCGAAACAGTTATTTTATTGGGGAAAGAAATTTCATAAAAATAAAAATAATGAGCTTTTTTATAATCAATTGGCAAAGAGAGTATTGCTACGCAGGCAAAATTCATTCTCTCAACGTAACGCTGCGAGAGCTCTTGTGTCGCAAAAAAAGGGCATTGCTATTTTTAAGTAGTGATCAATAATTCGAGAAGATCGCATTGTTGCTAAGATTGCTGCCATTCATTACTCGTTTTCATGTCGTAATGGTTTGCTTTTTAAAGTTTAACGTTGTAATAAAATCATCCTTTGCCATAACCGGTTACGTATCAAAAGAAAATACACGTTTAACAGAAAGCTATAGATATCGCGACTCGCGACATTTTCCCCTTTTTCTCTCGATATCGTTCGACTCTACGGATCATCGATTTCAGTCTCTCTTTGCCTTTGGACCTACAGAAATGCGGCTCTCACGACGCTTTTTCGTCGCGTGAGGGATCGAAGCATCGCGGAATTTTTTTTTTTTTTGGAATAATCGAGCGCACGAGCCGGATTGCATGGCACGGCTACGGTTTGGGCAGATCAGAGACAGGCGTCGGAAGGCTGAACGTAATAATTGTTACACGGCGCAAAATGCTGGAATATAAGTAAGCTGCGAGACCGAAAGACCATCCTTTTTGTTTTCAATGTCGGGACTATACAAAAAAATGCGACAAATATAACGTTAAATGTATATATAATATAATATATAACTAATATATTTTCCTAATATATGTTTCATCGCCGAATTTTCACACACACACGCACACGCACACGCCACGCACTCTTTCTCTCTCTTTCTCTTTCATTCTTATATATATATATATATATATATATATATATATATATATATATATATATATATGTATACGTGTGATTTTGATAATCTAAAATTCGCTCCACCGATTAACGTAGACGGTACTTTAATATAATTATGGTCTTTTTCTTGTTTCATACCGCGGATTCAATTTTTGCGTTAGCTGTGGGCTTAATAAAAAGCTAGGCCGCTTTTAGGCGTTCAGGCTACCGAAAATGTAGTATTATTTCTTTGTTTGTATCTCTCTCAAACTGCGTATGGTATGTATAATAACACTGCTCACTTCATATGTAATATAATCGATATCACATTATAACTATTATCTCTATGTCCTTAAAACAATATCCTTTACAAACGCTTTATACAACACACGGGCCCTGTAACCTGGATTAAAAATCGCCTATTCTGTCCATACCTCAACTATACACCTGTTCCTGTTTCTTCGTCCCTTGTTTCTTCTTTTTAATTCTATATCGTTCTCTTTTTCTGTCTCTCTCCCAATCTCACACACATACATACTCGTGTGAATACTCTTGTTCATTCTATTACCCGTTTACCTTCACTGTGTACATGTAACAATCATAATAATAATAATATTTTCTAATGGTATCTTAGAGTGTCATAGTGCAATGTCGAAAACTTGAAAGAAGTTTGCAAAAAAATAACTGCTCGGAGAGTATATCAAGCTGAATGTGGAACATCACGGAAAGTGCAATGTCTAAACGGCTCTCGACATTCGTCTCTGTTTCTTTTCGCTTCGTAAGAGCGTACCAGTAATAATACATTACTCGCACAACGTGCAAATATTTGCAGTGCAATTTCGATACTTTTTTTCCTATATACGGAGAAAATATCGCGCGAAGATTCGATCGCGCGTAAGATGCATCAACAAGCGAGACACGAGTACTCTCGAGTGGATCCTTAGAATTCTTCGCATGATGCACCACTTCGAATATACGATTTGCAACAATTTCCTCTATAGCACTTGAGAAAGTCATGCAATCGCATGCGCCGCTTACAGATTATAATTACCGTAATAGTTAATAATTGTATTTAAGAGAAAAACACGCTCGGAATCGGATCTAAATGTCTTACGCGAACGAGATATATATGTTTCCTTGTATTTGTAAATTCATTTTACACACCTACACAGTAAAGTAAATAAATTTGCCAAGATTCATACCGCGCAACTTTTCACAGCAAATACGTCATGATAAATTTCCTAAAGAACATTTAAGGATGAAAGCTTAATTGGTCGGAAATGCGTTTTCTTTCGAATCAAACGGACAATTTAAACAAGCGTTTGCCTTCTATTTTGCTAAATTAACGCTACGCATCGATGAACGCATTTTTCTTTTGCACGAAATAATCAACTCTCTCATTTCTCGTGAGCTTTTCATCAGCGATTCATCGAAGCGAAAGCGAAAGAAATATAAACAGCAAACAAGTCGCCTATTTCCCGATCGGTGTCTCATATTTTATCGCTATTCTATCTTATTCACGTATCAACAGCAACATCCGTTCCGATCGTAAGCTGAAAATTCGATGCGACGATCAACTGTTTGGTTTGAGACGTGATTGCGTGTTTGAATCATATAATTAATTTAATTTATTTATTTAATAAATCACTGTTTGCACTGTTGAAGACTTTCATGCAATTTCACGAATGTAGAGCATATTTGATCAAACAATCAAACATGCTTTTATGTTAATTGGCAAAAGTATAATTTGCCATTGTTAAATTGAAAAATAAAACGCGGCAAAGAAATAAGATATTTTCTGCGTTTGCGTCAAAAGTTTCTTTTGCATAACACATAATATATATTCTATTGTATTATAATATATTATAAAGCGTACTATAATTTTGGTAAGAAAATACGTATATATGACTTGCCTGAAGTGTGTACACCCGGCGTATGTAGCAGAGATTCACGTCGTCGAAACGAAACGCCGAACACCGCGTCGCATCAGGTTTGAATTCCGTGAGTACACAACAGAGTGAGAAGTTATAACGCTATTCTACGATATTAGGAGGCGAAGAGAATTCCTGCTTTAGAGAAAAATCCGGCGAGCGGTCAGGTCACTTTTTCTAGGGATAACGTTATGTATAATATTCGGACGTGAGCGTGCCAAGGAGTCAAACGGAGAAGACCTCTACGGTAACGTTTTGTATACTGGCAACATCGCGTTTTAAATCTAATATTATTGCTATTAATAGGTATACTCGAAAAACGTCATGTTTCGACAAATGCACGAAGCGGAATCTGATGATGATACCCGTGATTATAATTAGAAATGTCCTTACGGATTATTATTGAATATCAGGTTTCTGTAAACTTTTATTATAATAATTTCAAGTGAATTAATAACGGTACTGCAATCAACTGCAATTTGTCTCACGTACAGTGCCGCTTATCGAGTAAGTAACGAGAAGTAGGACGAGAAAGAAGAAAAAATGAAGGAGAAGAAAAAAAGAAGAAGAAGAAGAAGAAGACTAGGAAAGTCTGAAAAGTTTGTGCCGAAAAATCCTCCCAAGGATTATATAAAATGACAGTTTGGTCCTTGGCACGATCGACTAACGCGCTCGCCATGCCTAAATAATAAAGTAGCGCACTCGAGCGGAGTGTGGAGCGCCCGGGTTTAATCCTTAACAAGACGAGTATTTCGTTTCAGGTATTTCAAGATTTTTTAAATACAATATGTACACCTCTCGCGACTAGAGCAAAACGCCTCTCGTAATCTGGTAACGCGAAGTTGCTGTGACCCGATGATCGGTGATAGTGGCGGTGGTGATGGTGCTGCTATTGCCGTTCGTACTGTCGAGTCCCCTTCACGCGTCTGCGCGCGCGCGCGTGCGCACGCGGAAGGTAACGACTGGCGCGATTTCCTCCTCGGCTTTCGAAGCGGCGAAGAGCGCGGGGAAGAGTTCTCTCGCCGGCGCCGGCCGAGACTCGCCGATGACGATGACGATGATGATGACGAGACCCGTAAGTGTGCGTCCGTTTCGCAGACGTATTTTTGTTCCCCTCCGGAAGGAGGAGGGAAGTTTTTTTAATACCTCTGCTGCCGCGGCTGCGCTGTCCTGGCTGCCCCTACACCGGGCAGACCAGGATCTCGTACTCGAACATCAGCGAGACGGCGACGAAGACGAAGTAGAGGATGAACATGGTGAAGCCGAGGCCCCTGTTCATTTTCCATCTGAAGCAGGCGATGCTCATGATCACGAACAGCAGCATACAGAACAGTATCGCTATGCTGCACACCATGCCCACCGAGTTCACCTCCACGGGTTTCCCGTAGATTAAACCGTATAGGAGCCATGGAACCGGAAGCCTGCGGGCAGAATCAAAGCGCAAATCGAGCCATTTTCACAGCAGCCGACGATATGCTGATGCGATTATAATTAAACTATTGTGCATTGTTTACAGACCGTTCATTTTGATTTTCTTCTCATTATTTTCTATAGTACGGAAATAAAATATGTACTTTTCAAATGTCAAAAATGAACGTTCCAGAAAGAGATCTGTAACAGCTGCAGTAACGTGAAAAATTATGTGGAATTAATGAAGATATCGGCAATTACTATACATCGATTTCGAAAGATTTTTAAATACCTCATTATTCGTCATATTAAATTTACCAATTTTCGATTTAAAGATTTTCAAGTTAAAATTTTTATTATCCTATTATTATATTTCACATATAGAGTGAAGAAGATACAGGTTGAAGAAAAAAAGTTTATATGACAACATATCTAATTTGGAATGGTTTCTGAGATAGAGTCGTGCGATACGTGGCATGTGCCATGCTTTCGATAAAATTTTGTGGGTGTACATTTACATCTCTCGCGCTATAAACTTTATTAGAACATTACGGTTTTATGATTGCACGTGCGACCGGATCATGCACTGCATTGATCCCGTATAAACGTGCATGTGCAACGCGTGTAGGTGACTGTTGTGTGCCGCTCTATATATTATTTGAAGTACAGTATCTATAATTCACATTCGTCTGTAACAATGCTGTCGACGTGTGTCTTGGATATATATCGTTTGACGTGCAATCGCGCAAACGCAGAGTACACAAATGCGAAGAAATATTTCTCCGCTTCCCCTTCAGGCAGCCCGCCAACTGGCAATCGGTCAGCGTGCGATCGGGATGCGTGGCTATGATTGATCATCGAGAAGGATCTGATTCGTCTGATGTTTCATCATGCGGCGTGTGATTCGGCCAGGAAATCGAGTGTCACGGAGGAACGCGCGATTATTTTCGGAAGATTGAATCTCAGCCGCGCGAAGACAAAGTGAAGAAAGATAATTAATTCTTATTGATCGTAGATAGAAGTTGCTTTCGTCAATATCCTTACCTTCTACTAAAGATCATGCAAAAACGTTACGAATAAAAGTCGGGATTTTGGAATAATTTCAAAATATAATCTTGCCAACGACGTTGTTTCGGAAATTGAGATCCGCGTCATCTGTAATAGCGAGACTTTGGGTACAAGCCACAAGCAAAAGACACAAATATGCAAATCATGCAAAATATCGAATTAGCGGGCTCGAAAATTAGCGAACTTTTGTTGCTTCAGAGCTCGGATTCGCGTTAATGCGGTACGGAAGAAACAATCGCAACAATTGCGCGCGGTTTTATTAAATAAGGAAAAAAAATAGAGCCTCGCAGTTTTAAGGAGATGAGACGGAGTCGAGATTTCGCGAGTAGAGAGATTCCCGAGACCTTTCCGCGGGAAAATGAGTCTTGGTGTCTGGAACAGTATTCGCGGCATTTTCCGCGCCAACAATATAATAATGCCGGTAGAATGACTAGCGAATGCGATTACAGTGAAATAGCGAGAATGCCTTGACGGGCTCGGTCCGGCTATTATACCAATTCTGCACGCCTCTTCCAATCCCCCGTTCGATATCGTTTCAGCAAAATTCCGATTCGTACCGCACGCGCGAGCGTATATTACGAGAAAGAGAATATATGGTGTGCGTGTGTATACTATATATGAAATTCATGTGAGGATATTGACATTGGTATAATACGGGCCCGTGTCTGTATATGTATGTATGTATTACACAATTAAGTCCATTGTGTGCCCGCGCACGTGCGAGAGAGTCCAATAATTCCGAGATTGTTCGATTCGTCTATTGAACTCCATGCACCGTTGATCACATGAGCCGTAATCGTTTCTGCCAATCGTTTCAATCAACTTTCTGAAGACCCCGCTAGCGACGTTGACATTGGCCAAATGGCATCAGAAAAAGTTTCCTTGCGAACACGCTTAATAAGTAATTAGAATTTGCAAATTCTAGCGAATACGAGAATTGCGAAATAACATTATGCGTTTTATTGGAATAAATGTGAATTTTTTGAATTACTGGAATGCAAAGTTTTTTTCTCAGAATGCATAATATTATGTCCAAATTTTCAGGAGGATTAAGACAATAATGCAATTAAAAACTGAAGAATAAATTACATAATAGACTTTTTTTCAGTAAATTGACATAGTTATAAAGTCTTTTGATATGATTTTAAATAAGAACATAATACATAATTATATGTAAAAGATATTAAAGTTCAGATGTTAAAGATATTCAGTATTTAATTTGAGTTAATTTAAGTTTACAGCATATCGAGAGAGATAATCCATGTTGGTAAATAATATTTAATTGTATATCTAATGATTCAACTCAAACATGCATGTATCTTCAAGCAACTGCATATTTTAAGGTAAGCTAAATATTATTCTATTCAGTATAACATCGGTATAACGGTGCCAACCATCGGCTGTGCATACATTCTTGTATGCACAATATGAATAACAATAGCATCATTTCTTCCACTAGCAATGCAAGCAGGAATATTACAGTATCCCGATAAACGCCTCTCATGTATCGTGAACGGAAGTAAAAGTAAATGGGAAATGACGGAATTGATCGAGTATTTAATTAACAATCCTCATTTTTAGACCAAATGTTTAGACAACGTCAAGTTAAAAAAGATTAAAAAGGAAATGTACATTACACTATTAATAAAATGGAAATCTGCGGTGCAAGCCGACCGATATTTCTTTGCCGCGTTAAATGCTATCTTGACACGCTATTTTCCTCTTTCCGCTCGAACGATTGACGTTACCGAAATTTGAGATTGATATCCCTTCTCGAATAAAGCTTCCTGGCCTCTTTGGCACCTGGCCCTTTTCGTTAATCGATCCTTCAATATAGCACGACGTAAATGGGTTTCGGGTTCAAAAACAGAGAAAGCTGCGGATGCTTTCAGAAATGTATTAAATTTCTGGGTTGCAACATACTGTTTTAATATCTTGCACTGTTCTCACGACAAGAAAGTTTTTGGAAAATCTTCACGTACAACTTTTGCAGAATATCGCAAGTTTTTTTGCTAGATAAATATTAAACCTCACGTAATCTTAAAATACAACTTAATTCAACGATGTTAAACAATTGCGATTAAACGCGAGGAGATAATAATGTTAGTATAATTTACGGAGGTTAATCAAATGGCGAGTTCATGTGGATAGAATCGTAGCGTTGACATTTTAATGACAATATTGGAAGCATATCAAAGTTTCTTCTTAATTTGCTTCCTCTTTTGTTATTCATGCCGTGCATGTTCACTTTGTTATAATGTTCTGTACGTAAAAATGTGTTAATATAAATCGGGAATGTATAGGTATAACTCTGCATTTACTTTGCACCTTTATCTACATCGTTCAAATTATCAATGTTAATCTATTATATATTCTAAATTTTTCTTATTTTTTTGAAGTTTGTTATAAATTCTATTGGAAAATCAATATGACGTTTCGTGTTTTCTCTTTAGAGGCTTTATCTTTCTTTCTTATCTCTATTTCAAATAACGATTTTAATTCATATAACATATATCGAAATATATCGTAAATCTCTTCACATGCAGAATCAATAAATTACACGTTGCTGCGATATCTCTAAAATGGAAATATAATGGTATGACTTTTTGTGAATGGATGTATTGTATGTGTACTTATATTTTTCTCCTAAAATTTTATTCTATTATACTAATAAAATATTATTTGCTGAGGTCACACTCTTCATTTTTACTGCATTTTCAAAAATATTTTAGTTTTATGTTAAGCTTCCATTACGAGTACAGTTAAAACTTTCTACTTTCTCGAATCAGATCGTTAAAAAATATTTTAATACGTAGAGATTGTAAAATTTAAACAATAATACATGTAAAATAGAATTATAAAAGAATTGGGTATTTGCAAATTATTATTCGCACGAAACAGTCTTCTATAAAAAATTCGCTATCGAATGATAATATTGCATAATAAAATTAAACAAGTTTAAACTATGTATGAAGTAATTGGTAAAATTGGAACAAATTTTCTAGAATCTTTTGGAATAAAATGCTGAAGTCCATGCGATACATCGCAGGACAACGTTGCAACTTCTGGAAGAGATTTGGATGCTCACCCAACGGTCACGTCGAAGATGTTGCTGCCGACGGAACTCGACACGGCCATGTCGCCGTATCCCTTTCGCGCCACGATGACGCTTGTGATGAGGTCCGGTATGCTGGTGCCAGCTGCGAGGAACGTCAGGCCCATCACTTCCGGCGGTATGGCCACCGTGTCGCCGGCGACGTTTGCCCACCAGACCATCAGGTACGAGTACGCGGCGATCCAGAAGATCGAGCCGATGAACGTTATCGGGAAGAACTTCTTCCCTGAAATTAAGCGCGTGGAGATGCATGGTATCTGTTACACACGATCCCTGCCGGGGTCGTCCTATGGAGATTACATAAATCATCGTGGAGGATCAACGTCAATATCGGACGTGATTTCACGGCAATTTTTCCCACGAGAATCGAGTCGTAGAGACAAGACCGCGGCGGGGTGCCCGTAATAACGCGGGATGTTCCTTCACTCGCGCGGGATTATGTAGTCAGCCGTGTGGCGCCAGGCATTTTATTCGCACCACTCGGTTGCAGTTCCCATTAACGGAAGTAGTTTAAGTATGCTAAGTGTGTTTGGTCGATTACCATTCTGATATCACAATGAGTCATTGGCTAACTGGAGTATGCAATATAAATTTGAAAAATTAGTTCGTTTTAGATGCGAAAGAGTAGTTAAAAGTATGAAATACACATATTGATAAAAAGATTGTTGAGAATCAAACGTATGTCGGTATATAAAGTGGAATTTAAATGGAAATATCAAGATTAAAGATGTGAAATTAAAGATTAATCCAATTAAGTTAATTATTCTAATAATTTAGTGATGGCGTAACTTTGCAGTTAATAGTGAATTGTTTGAAGTAGAGCTTTTATGAAGTAGTTATTAAGTGAGGGATTTTTTTAGTAGATCGCATTTTTTCTTGATGGATATAATGGTAGGCGAAGTCGTTCTCAGCCAATAAGAACCGCCAGTTTGCAAACTTTGATGCCGCATTTACGTGCTTTAATGCTGCAATGACGATAATGAAGTTCGACGTATCTAATCCGTCTCGTAATCTAATCCTAATGGCCGAATCTCGAGGGTTTAGTTTAAGAGCGACGGAAGAGTTCTAAATGATTTTCGCAGAATATATATCGTATATAGACGATTCTTCGTTCTAAATGTAACAACTTTTTTGGTAGGCGTTCTCAAAATTGACTTCTAATTACGATTATGGCAGTCTCCACGGACAAAAAATGAGAAGATACAAAACTTTCCCTATTAAATTGTTTCTTATATTAATTTTGTAATCTGGATGAATGGAGGTACGCAATGAAAGAGCTATGCGATAACTAATTATCTTAATTTAAGTGAGATTAAGTTTAGCCCGGACAGTTTTAATTATTCGAGAAAAGAGATTATACTATGAGAATAAATCTTAATTTGGTATGAAAGTAGTTGCATTCCTTGTTAAATCTGAGCGACAATTATTTACTAGGGTTACGAATTAGGAGAATTTATCAATGTTTATGAAAAAAAAAGGAATTTTGCATGTTTTGATTTATTACAAATGTTTCTATTTCTTTATCTATCGATAAACAAGTAGTCCAACGATCTTTGATTCGCTTATGTGTGCGTCTCATGGTGCGTCTCTTAATTGATTGCGATAACATTCATATTAATAGATCCGTAATCAAAGGTAATCGAGATTGCTGAAATTCAAAGGACATATCGGAATTTTAGCTGACAATAGAGTCAGCGCCGCGCACGTACGTACGGCCATCTATGCGTTTGTACATGCGCGACAATCAGTCGTTTCCCCAATGCGAAATTAGTGTGTCAATATCATCTTTCGTATTGTGCAATATTGCGAATAGAAACGCACTAATAGGCCGAGATAATGCAGAAGACGCGTGATAAATGACGGTGAATAATAGTGAATAACAGCGGCAACCGGCAGCGTGTGCCGCCGCGCTCGGGTTGATCTTAACATTTATTATTAAATCGATATGCGGCATGTACCGAAAACGATATAGACACGCTCGTTCTCGCTTCTCCCGTTAAACGACCGAATTGCGACCATCGTAACATCTTTCCCGCTACCTAACCCGTTATCGACGTTCTCATCGCGAGGTTTTAAGAAGAAAAAAAAAAAGAGTTTTATCTTCTTTTTCTACCGCTAATCTTCGACAAAATGCCGTTACACGTCGAACAATGATAAGAAGGTGTAAGCTGGATAAAACTCGTTTTCGGCGAGTTAACTGTAAGTGCCGTTTAATTAGTCTCTTGTATTGACGAGGCGAGTTCCACCACGACGAAATCGATGGCTCGGAATCCCGAATTCCCGGAGTTGAGTTAATATTACCACGGGGGTCGATATCGGGGCGGGAGCAAAACATCGCGCGACGTTCGCGCGCTGATTGATAGGATTTAATCTGATCCTGACGTTTTCGGCGGGTTAAAAAAAAATATATACGTCGGCCGGAAGTTTTTTTCCCCCGGTCGTAATTAATGGCGCATTCGTAACGCTTTTCCGTCTATTCAGATAATATTTCCAGCGAAAATCGGATAAATCGTCATTCACGCTTCGATCGGCAAAGCGAAGCGGTTAGGTATGCAATTAACATACAATCAAGTATAAAATGTGATATTGGATGGTATCGCGTGAGACTCTTGGATCCCGCCGATTTTCATTCCTTAAGTAATACGCAGATCGGACATCTATTCCGCAATTCGCAATTTATTGCAGTCGAGCGCGCGAAGTGGCGAGGATATACGTGAATATATATACATATATATATATATATTCTCCTTTACTATTAACGAGTTATGAAATTGAAGTGGAAATTATCTATGATATATTACCTACGTCTTAATATCACCATCTCATTATCAAGGAATAGAGATAGCGAGCACAAGCGGAATAAAGATGGAAAGCGGAGCGGGAGACATCGATGCAAGTTCATAGCACGTATTTACCGATTAAAAATACTTTTGATAAATTAAAGTCCCCGTCCTTGAGGACTTATATATTCGTTTCATAAATATCCTAATTGACTTTTCAAGGAGAACGACGGAGTTTAGGTCTCGCAATAGATGCAAGATATGTAAATGAAAACTGCTTGATCGCTCTTGCGCTTGACAAAAGGTTCTTGGCTTTTGTCTTTGCTCCAGTTTTCATTTGCCTCTATTCAAGACCGATTATCCGTCAGTGTGGAGAAATCTAATATTACTATCCGAATAGTCAACAGTGAAAACACTGAGCAAGAAGGCCATCGGATGAAGTATTAGTGTTGGTGCAAATATTCGGCCGTTTCCCCATCGATCAAATGCCTGAGAAAATTTAGTTTTGCTTGATTCTCTCTCGCAAAGCTATTATATTAATCTTTATATAGGTATATATGTATATTTAATTTCAATGTAAGTGTGTTTGCATGTGCGCGGGTGTTAATTTCGCAAAATTGGAAATCGTAATTAATAAAGTAAATGTAATTTTTTCAATCTTTTACATTTATATTGTATAAAAACTCTTGAAACTGAGGTGGAGAAAAGATAGCGAAATCAGGAAATATTCACTTGAGTGAAAAATGATTTATTAGAGGTTGCTCGAATCTATATGGGTATAGAAAGATGATCATTAATTACCTCTAGGTGTTCTCGTATCCGGTAACGTCAACCAAAGAGGAAATAAGATTGGCGCAACCAAAATGTAAGTTAGCCTTTTTCTCGGGCTGCTTGGCCAGCCCATGTTCAAGGCCTCTGGAGGTTCATCCTCTTCGCCCTGTGAACAAATATTTAACAAAAATGAGATTCTTCTGGAATCATATTTTTCGTCATTAAGTTTCAGTCTAATTTGCAGATCGAATTTATTTAATTATATACCTAATTGCGTTCAAGATGCAACATTCATTGTTGTTCTGAAGAGACTGAATAAAACGTTTATATGCATTATTGAAGAATGTTACGAAATTCAAAGATCTAACCACGAGTTAGTTACAAAGGCAATAAAGTATCTCTCTGTTGTTCCGTCTCGAGCAAACACAACGCAATGCCACAGAGCATATTTGTGAAGTATCATAATTTTCAGCGCACTCACACTTCAAGAACGAAATGAACGTAGTTCCCCGTACGCCGGACTAATCCTCGTTTTGAATGTTTGTTACATTAGCAGGGAGCGACATTAAAAGGCCGTGTTTGCTGAAGAGGAGAAATCGCCCGAGTTAATGCGCGAGATTTATCCTATAATGTTTACAACTAAATAATCCGTATAATGAGGGAATAAATTATGTCACTGTAAATAACAAATTATATTACAAATGTCGAGAAGCGAATTAAGATAAGACTCGGAAGGAGCTTTTACAGCGCGCGAAACTTTCTTCGGGGGCCATTAATCTGGAATCTTGTCACTCTGTTTTGTTGAACTTAACGAAGCTACTTGCCGGACCGAACTATATCGTGTGAGCTTTTCCGGGGCGGGGCGTTCCCACATTGTTCCCACAAATTTCGCAAACTTTTGTGGAAAATCGTAGGGTTGGTGACTTTACTCCGATTATCCGTGGGAAGCGCAAGTGAGGCTGCAAATGCGCATCAGCGGACGGGGTGTGGGATGCAGCAGCATTGACCCAGATTCTCCGATGCATTCAAAATGAAAAGGCCCTCTCTTCGGTCATTTAGGACAAAGCCGCCTGAGACTACTCACCGCTCCGTCCACGCGCCACGATACCAGCCAGCAGCGCGCTGGCTAATATTCTCGAGAGAGAGCGAGAGAGAGAGAGAGAGAGAGAGAGAGAGAGAGAGAGAGAGAGAGAGATTGATTGATTGATTG